AGGACTGTAGCATAGCCATCACCCCTGGGGGCTGATTTCCTTCTCTCTCTCTAAAGTGAGCACATGTGCCCTATCAAAGGAACGAAAAGAAAGAAAGAAAAAAAAACCCTGCTTGCTGAACTCCAGTGATCATTTGGTATAAATGACTATTTTCCTAATATTTCAATTTGCATTGGAAGTGCTTGTTCACCATAGCAAAAGTAAAGAATTCCACAAATCAGACCAGCCTGTGGTCTGGTGGTTAAGGCACCTGGATCCCACGTGGTCAACCATGAAGTTCAAGTCAAGAACCTGGCAGACTGAAAAACTCTCCAGGCACATGTGCATGCGTGTCCAAAATCCCACAAAAAGGGAAAACTGCTGGAGAAGACATTGTGGTGTGACCATTCCCCACGGGGGCTGCTTTCTTGTTTTATTTGTCTCTCCTCAGCAAGTACATATACCTAGTGGCAAAAATTAAAAAAGAAATAGAACTCCACAAATTATCTTTACTTCTAATTCAGTCATCTAGGTATTTTATTTATTGAACAACTAATACGTTCTGGACACTGCCCTAGGAACTTCAGATTGTGGTGATTAATTTTATGTGTCAACTTAACTAAGCCATAGGTGCTTAGCTATTTGGCCAAACATTATTCTGCGTGTGTCTGGGGAGGTAGATTTGGATGAGGATAACATTCCAATTGTATATGGTAATATTTTTGACTGGACTAATATACAATGTATCCATGCTGGGAAAATCCACTTTGTATGCTGTAAAGATGTACAGTGATTGTATGTAAAAAAAATAATAAAAGGAAAAAATGTTAGCCAAATGTATTTATTTATTTATTTTAAAATATTTATTTAATTCCATTTGTTATTATTACATTTTAATTTTTATGTTTATATTTTATTATTATTCATACATTAAATTGCTATACATCATTTAGGTTCTAAAGAGACTTTACCCAGCATTATATACACCTCAGTCCAGCCCAGTTGAGACCACCATACAATATAAACAAAAATCCATTCCAACTGCTAGAAAGACTGTGTATCTCCTCTTATTAAAATCCCCCAGTGGCTTTCCAAATCATTAAAAATGAAATAAAATCTATCCCCCTAGCTTCTATCATTCTGAACTCAAATTCTACTTCTATCTTACTCGCTCACTCTACTTCAGCCATACTGGTCTCCAGGATATTCCTGTTTCTCTTTAAATGTGCAAGGCAAGGCTCTGCCTTGGAGTGTTTTCACTTGAGTGTTCTGTCTAGAATGCTCATCCTCCAGATATCAACACTGCTTGCTTGCTCCCTTACTTCCTGAAGTTTTTACTCAAATATATTCCCAGTGAGGCCTTCTCTGGCCACCTTATCTAAAACAGCAAACCTTCCTCACATACCCTCCTCCTTGTCCCTGTTTGATTTTTTTTTTCTCGTTATCACATATTACTTAACATACAGGGAGGGTTCAGAAAGTTCATGAAAGCCCAGACTGGTGGTACAGTTGGTAGCAAACTGAACTGTGGTGCTGAAAGTCACATGGCCAACTATGGGTATGAATCACTGGGTCAGCCTGAAAACATGCCGAATGTGCACACATGTGCCCAAGATTTCAATGAGCTAGAAGGCTGGGGGAAGGGAGTTGCAGTGTGACAAGACCCTGTTGAAGGTGTCTCATGCTCTCTCTTGTAAGTGAACACAAACACCCTGCCATTAATTTTTTTTAAGTTTGTTAAAAAGAATAAAATTAATGTAAAATTTACTTTTGTACAAATAATAATAAAACTGAAATCCTTGCATAGATTTTTTATATTTTCCATGAACCCTTAGAAGGTCCTATTTTACTGATTTATTTTGTTTCTTTTCTGCCTACCTCCACAGAATGTAAATTCCATGAGGGTGGAAATTTTTGTATGTTTTGTTCACTTCCATATCCCCATCACAATAGCACCTTGAACAAATTGTTGAATTAATGAATAAATGAATACAACATTTTAATTTATATCCCAGGGAGCCACTGAAAATGTGGAGTCCTGAATCAAAAGGACTCCTCCTTTCTGACGTCTATCACACACCTCAGGAGGTTCTTCAGAAGGTGCTGACATGGCTGCCTTGGTAAATCTTGCAATGTACATGTTGTGGAGCTTACTTTGGCAAGCATTTTCAAACCCAAGGCTTTGGGTTTCGTTGAATCGAATGGCATTTCCTACAACAAAGCACATTTCCCAGGTGCAGTGTCTTTATGAAATTCTGTTTTACAAGAACTCTTTTACATTCATTGTATCAAGCCCAGGATCTATCAGAAGTTTTTGTAATAAGAAGTTTTTCTTTTCTGATCATAAAAATCAAGACTCCTACCTTCAGAGATGCCATCTATTCCATTCAGAATTGAATCCTGGGAAACTTTAGTGTCCTCCCCTTTCAGTCTATCTCATTCTCCAAACAACTATTGATCTGGGCAAGGTGCTCCCTTCATGTGTTCCCAGAGAACTTGTTGCTCTTTCTATCATAGCCATCATTAATTTTTTTAAAGCAATATTTCCCTATATGGAGCATATGTTCACCAGAGACACAGAGAGAGAGAGAGAAAGCGAGAAATCACTCCCCTCCCCCCAAGGCTGCAATCCCTTCTCTGGTCTCCTCTTGGGATTTTGGGAATACACACACACACATGCCTGACATGAGTTTTGAGTCACCAGGTCTGGGATTCGAATCATGGTTGGCCATGTGGGAGTCCAGCACCATAACCACTACACCACCTGCTGACCCCACCCATTACATCTTTACCTGGCTTCCCCTTCAGCTAGACTGTGGGCTCCATGAAGGCAGGGCCAAGTCTGTTTTGCTCCTGACTGTAGCTCCAGCACTCACAGAGCAGCAGTTTAGTAAATGTTTGTTAAATGAATAACAAACCCAGGTAAATTTGAGCCCCACGCATTTCAAAAAAGGAAAGTGGGTCATTTAAAAACAATAATTTTGGGACCAGCTTATGGTGTAATGGTTAAGTCACTGGACTCCCACATGTTGATGCAGTTTGAGTCCTGGACCTGGTGTCCAGGTGCATGTGTGAACCCAAGATCCTGAGAGGAGAATGGAGAAGGAATTTCAGCGTGGCCATCCCCCCAAGGTGTGGCTTCTCACTTTCTGTCTTTTTGTCTCTCTCTGTCTCTCCAGCAAGTGCATGTGGCCTATAGCAAAACTGTCTCTTAAAAGAAAAGATCATTTTTAAAGCATAATCAATTCACATATAACACAGAAGATAATTATTTTCTTTATAAAGTCTAGACAACATAAGATAACAACAATATTTAGCTCTAGATAGTGGGATTAAGGTTGCTTTTTTACCTCCTCCTTCATGTCAGTATTTATCAAATTTTCTATAATGAGTGTGACTTACTTTTATGGAGGAAAAAAAAAACATCAATTATAAAATAAAAAGTACAGCCTTACTACAAAATATGTTCACCTCTTTTCCTCAAAATAAAAGAGTATCATAAAGAGTTAAATACAGGGCCCAGCAGTTAGTGTAATGGCTATGTCACTGGACTCCCATGTAATCAACCGCGGTTCAAGTCCCGGACCCGGTGGCTTAAACTCATGCTGGGCATGTGTGCATGAGTGCCCAAGATCCCGAGAGGAGAATGGAGAAAAAGGGATTGCAGCATGGTCATCCCCCCTGGGGGGTGATTTCTCACTTTCTGTCTGTCTGTCTGGTGAGCGCACGTGCCCTATAGCTAAAAATCTCTCCAAAAAAATTTTTTTTCAAAAAAATTCAAGAGTTAAGTACAATCATTGGGCTTTTCCCTTCTATTTTACTGAAAGATGAATAGTAACATGAAATCTCTGCCTTTTTTTTTAATTGCCAAAGAGCACATGCGCTTAACAAAGACTGAGAGAGAAAAAGAGAGAGAGAAAAAACATCTCCCAATGGGTCATGGGCACGTCACAATCCCTTCTTCATTTCACTATCCTGTCAGGATTTGGGGGTATGCACACACACACATACACCCAGTGTGTTTTTTAAGCAGTCAGGGCTGGGATTCAAACTGTAGTTGACCAAGTGGGATCTGACTCTCTTAATCACTGAGCTACAGGCTGGCCTTAAATCTCTGCCTTCTTAACATCAACAGATACACACACACACACACACACACACACACACACACATATGTTGATAATAAAACTCAAGTTGCAAAAATCACATGCTATCTAGGTCCTAAAATGTCACCAGTGCTTTACACACGGTTTTAAAAATCCTAATTATTTTTAATAAAAATAATTCAGATTCCAGTGTGATGCACAAAACAGAGTTGTTAACTTTATTTCATATTCAGAACTGAACATGAGAAAGTAGGAACCAATTTTTGTCCTTCCAAAATGCTTCATCTGGCTCTGATGACTGAAACAGTCTCCTCTGCTCTCTCTGTATGGTTCGCATTCAATTCAGTGAGAGAACAAGAGCTATGGGAGAAAAGTAAATTACAGTTAAACAACCTGCAAGGACTAATATACATACATCACACTTTGTTACAAAAGGAAATGACTGCATCAAAATTTTCAAGCATTGTATATGCTGTGATTGAGTTAACGTACTTTCAGTTTGCTAATATATCATCTCATGCTACTGCGAGGCATCCAGACAAAACAGACCACAGTAAATACTACTGCAGAGATCATTTCTGAATAACAAAGTTTACAAACGTGCCCCAGTGAATGGCCTGGAGAAATCAAGTTTGGTTAGTCTAATTATAATGCCATATATGTGCATATATGTGTGCATGTGTACATGTGCCCACATATGTATGCATTAAACATATACAAGATAGTATATTAGCATGCAAAAATCACATGCTATCTAGGTCCTAAAATGTCACCAGTGCTTTACACACGGTTTTAAAAATCCTAATTATTTTTAATAAAAATAATTCAGATTCCAGTGTGATGCACAAAACAGAGTTGTTAACTTTATTTCATATTCAGAACTGAACATGAGAAAGTAGGAACCAATTTTTGTCCTTCCAAAATGCTCCATCTGGCTTGGATGACTGAAACAGTCTCCTCTGCTCTCTCTGTATGGTTCGCATTCAATTCAGTGAGAGAACAAGAGCTATGGGAGAAAAGTAAATTACAGTTAAACAACCTGCAAGGACTAATATACATACATCACACTTTGTTACAAAAGGAAATGACTGCATCAAAATTTTCAAGCATTGTATATGCTGTGATTGAGTTAACGTACTTTCAGTTTGCTAATATATCATCTCATGCTACTGCGAGGCATCCAGACAAAACAGACCACAGTAAATACTACTGCAGAGATCATTTCTGAATAACAAAGTTTACAAACGTGCCCCAGTGAATGGCCTGGAGAAATCAAGTTTGGTTAGTCTAATTATAATGCCATATATGTGCATATATGTGTGCATGTGTACATGTGCCCACATATGTATGCATTAAACATATACAAGATAGTATATTAGCATGAAGAGTATACATTATTATAATATATGCTTATGTATTAATTAAAATAGGCAATATACATCAAAAGTATATGCATACACATATAGAACATCTTATGTAAGGCTTTTCTTCTGTTTCTCCTGAGATAAGTAATTTTCCTATTCACCTAGTCCAAATATCTCATTTTGTAGATAGGGGAAGTGAGACCAGGGAAATTAAAGGACTTGTCCAAACTTACATTGTAAATAACAACAGAAGTGGGGCTAGACCAAGACTACCCTGACCCTAAGTTCAACAGTCTGCTATGCTAATCTTCTGCTTCTCTGTAAATAAGGTGAGGAATTAACACCTTTAATCTTTCATTTGAATAGCACATTGCGATTTTCAGAGCATTTTAATATATGATATATTATTTAAGCTATACAAAACATCTCAGATAATGGTATTAAGGAGCTGAGAAGTTAAGACACTTACCTGTAGGAACACCACTAGTTAATCACCTGCACCTCCTGACTCCAAGTCTAGTACTCTAGTTTCTAAATATACCACTTTTCTCACCAACCATTTTATTCTTACTTGACCATTCAACAGTTATTTTGAGAGGAGAAAGTGCATGCCAGGATTAGGGAATCTGTAAACCTATGCAAGTAAGGCCCAAGTAGACTCTGAGAGTCTGGGATCTCTCTATCAACCACTTTTTCTTTCTTTCTTTTCTTGCCAAAGGTCATGTGCACTCACTAAAGATAGAAAGAAAGCACCAAACAGGGTGTGTTCTTGCTGCAGTCCTCTCTCCTCCACTCTTCCTTACCATCAGGATTTTAGGCAAGCACACAGATATGACTGGTATGTTTCTCACGCTACTGGGGTCAAGATTCAGACCACAGTCTGCCATGTGGGTTCAGGCTCCCAAGGAACAGTGCTTTAACCACTGTACCATGGGGCTGGCCCTGACAACCACTTTTAATATTGCATTGTGGTGGCCAGCAGGTGGCATGGTGGTGAACTGGACTCCCACATGGCTGACTGTGGTTTGAGTCCCGGGCTTGGTGACTTTCTCTCTCTCTCTCTCTCTCTCTCTCTCTCTCTCTCTCTCCTCTTTCTCTCTCTCTCTCTCGTCAAAACTGAAAAATAATGATAACAAATGAATAATACTTTAAAAACAAAAAATACTGCACTGTGCAGGTTTGGGGAGCAAGTAGCTGAGACTACCAGTGAAAGATCCAGTTCAATCCCAGATCTGCTGTCTCTTGAGGCCATGCTCCTTTCTCTGTATATGAAATTGATAAACACACATTGGGAACTGTGGCCATTATTATTTAGCCAGGGTGTCTATTATGAAGCCTCTGAGTCAGATCAGGCATAATCTATTTATTTACTCCCTCTGAAGAGCTGAACTATGTGTCACCCAAACAATTTGGCACATTCCTTGTCCACTTTCCTAACATTCAAATATTCCTAGTGATAATATCATTTCAAGAGCTGACTCTTCCCGTAGTCCAAACATTCATGGAGTAAAAAATAAATTTTAGGGGCCAGTCCCATAGCCTAATGGTTAAGGGAGCCATATCCCACATGGCCAACCATGTGATTCAAATCCTGGCCCCAGCAGATTGAAAAACATCTTGGGTGCAAGCATGTGCATGTCCTTAGTCCTGACAGGATGGGAAAATGAAGAAGAGATTACAGTGTGATCATACCCCATTAAGGAGTGCTTTCACTCTTTCTCCATCTCTGTCTCTCTCTAGTGAGCACACGTGCCCTCTGGCAAAAATAATAAAATAAATGTTAGTGAAACCAAGATGATGACAGAAATATAAAACTAACAAGAATTAGAGATTAAGCACTTCAACTTTATCTCCTATTATCAATTACCTCTGGTCTCTTGCTCCTTTTCATCTTCTTCATCACCTTCCATTGCTATCATCTCAGTATCCTTCAGTTTGTCTCTTTGCTTCTTCAAATCCTTTAAAATTTTATCGACCTTTCTTCGTAGAGGATTGGCCCATTTGCTGTAATATGAAATGTTTAAGTAAAACTTTACTTCTCACCAGTAATGGAATAACAACGGGGTGTTATAAGAATAAAGGTATTTGTACATATAACTTTATATACTTCCTCATTTGATTTTTTTTACTTTACTAGATTTAATAAATATAATAGGAAATACTGGGTTATCAGAAAAGTCATGATATATATTTTTTCTGTTTTTCAGAGGTCACTTACTTATATAAATAACAAAGATCAATCAATGATTTATTGCCCATTTTGTTTAATAACCTTTTGCCATCTTTTAACTTCTCATTCATAGAGGGACCTATCTTTATCTGCAAAAAACTGAACAAGGTGTTGATTTACAGCCTCATCTGAACTGAACATTATACCATGCAAGGAATTTTGAAAAGTGAAAGAAGTGGAAGTCTGATGTCACAAGGTCAAGTGAGTATGGTGAGTGTGGCAATGCATCCCATCCAACTCTAATAAATTTTTTAGAGGTTTCTGCCTTAGGGCATGTTCGCTTTCCAGAGAGACAGAGAGGGAGAGATACAATGAGAGGGAATATAAGAAATAACCCCTCGGGGAGATGGTCATGCCACAATCTCTTCTCCTTCATTCTCCTTTTGAGATTTTGAATACAAACACACACACATCCAATGTGATTTTCAAGCCACTGGTTCCAGGATTTGAACCACAGTCAGCTACATGTGAGTCCAGCAACATAACTGCTATGCCATCTGCTACTCCCATAATTCCATTAGTTTTTTTTAGAATTATTTATTTAATTTTATTTATTCATTCATTTATTTTAATTTGATCAGAGAGATACAGAGGGAGAGAGAGAGAGACAGTGAGAATGCCATGTTCAATTTCCTGGTTCCAGGATTTGAACCACAGTCAGCTACATGTGAGTCCAGCAACATAACTGCTATGCCATCTGCTACTCCCATAATTCCATTAGTTTTTTTTAGAATTATTTATTTAATTTTATTTATTCATTCATTTATTTTAATTTGATCAGAGAGATACAGAGGGAGAGAGAGAGAGACAGTGAGAATGCCATGTTCAATTTCATTTTTTACACAAACATGAATATTGACATTATCCATAAAGCCAGAAAGAGGTGGCAATTGTACAGTGCTTCAAGGCTTGTACAACATGGCAGAATTTGGATTTCCACTAAATAAACAACAAATGACTTTAAAAATTAAACACAAAGCTGAATTTTTCATAGAGTTGGTTTGCTAAGTGCCTGTACTGGTTCTTTCTAAAATGTAGAGAAAGCGACCCCTGGTGGAATTCTGATGAAACATTTTTCCAGTTTTCTTTTTTCTTTCTTTCTTTCTCTTTCTTTCTTTCTTTTTTTAAAAAATGGTCACTTGGGATCAGCAGTTAGCGTAATGGCTATGTCACTGGACTCCCATGTAGCCGACCACAGTTCACGTCCTGGACCCGGTGGCTTAAAACTCACGCCGGGCGCATGTGCATATATATATATATATATATATGGTCACTCAATATATTGCATAGCTGATGAAGGTCTATCGTGTGCCAGGCATCATTGTGCTGGGCTCTGGAGACACAGACGTGATTGGAAAGCAAAGTTAAGTATGGTTGACAAGTAAGCATTTACAAAAAACATTGATCAGTGCTGCAGACTGACAGGGTGGAAGGAACTAATTTGGCCACAGGCTGGTAGAGGTGGCCTGGGCAGCTGAACAGGGAAGGGTAGAAGTGGAAAAAGCCCATCCAGACAGAAAGGTTTGAGTAGCATGGTCCCTTGTGGGATACAGATTTTTTAAAAATAATATGGACATATTTTCCATAAACTTTTTGAAAACCTCTCGTATTATTTTATTTAATCCTTGTAGGGATCTAGTCAGGACTGGCTATATCACTTGAGAGGCCCAATGCAAAACAAAAATGTGGAGCCTAAATATAATCTTATTAAAGATACTAAAACATTAAAAAAAAAAAAAAGAAAGAAAGAAAGAAAGTGAGAAAGCAAGCCACCAGGTCCAAGACTCGAACTGTGGTTGGCCATGTGGGAGTGTCCAGCACCTTAAAACCATGCAACCTGCTGGCCCCCAACTCCAGTAGTTTTTTTATGGGTGATCAAGTTTGTGTGTGGTCTGGTGTTGTCATGGTGGAGCACAACTCTTTTAAGATCAACGAGCTCTGGACATTTCTGGATGATGGATTTGTTCAAACTGTCCAACTGCTGACAGTACACATTCAGATTGATTGGTTCCTTGGTAGGAGCTCAAAAAAGACACCTTTAAAATCCCTCCAGACTGAGAATATAACCTTCCTCTGATAAATGTATGCTTTCAATGTCATTTGAGGTGTATCTTCACTTCAGGACCAAGACTATTTGTGCACCACATTGTTGTAAATACATTTCTCATCACCAGCAATTGGTCGCTTCGAAAAAGGATCTTCTCTCTCACATGTAATGAGCATATCACAGATTTTATATGCGCCAAATGAACTTGAGTACACAAGGAACCCAAATATCGAGCTTGCTTACATATCCCAGCTTCTTCAGGTGGTTATGAATGCTTGAATGATGGATGTTCAATGTTTCTGCAGTCTTGTGCTGTATAATGTGAGTTTGACTCGATCAGTGCTTTTATTTTATCATCATCAACCTCAGTGGACCTCCCTGACCAAGGAGCATCGTTGAGATCAAAATCACTAGCACATAATTTCGTGATCTATTATTGGCACTGACATTCTTGTAGAGTATTGTCACTGTAAACTTTACAAAAGTTCTCACAAACTTGATGTGCATTCTCCCTTTCATGTAAGTAAAACAGTAAAATATGGTGAAAATGCACAATTTGGTCTTCCATCTTCAACTTATAAAGTCTCCCAAACTCAACCAAATTGCTTAATTTTTTTTTAGAATGAAGCTAGGACTGTCAGCTATCAAATGACATAGGAATAGCAATAGATGCCAATGACTCTAGTACTTCCAAAAATGAACTAGTGCCATCTTTTGCAAAAATACATCATGACTGGGACCAGCAGGTAGCGTAGAAGTTACATCGCTGGACCAGGTAAGTGTGCATGTGTGCCCAAGATCCCGGGAGGAGAATGGATAAGGGACTGCAGCGTGGCCATCCCCCTGGGTGGGGAAGGGGAGATTTCTCGCTTTCTAGCTCTCTGGTGAGCACATGCACCTGATAGCAAAAATCTCTCTCTAAAAAAATGAAAAATACATGACTTTTCCAACAACCCACTCCACTCACTCATACTTATCCTTGCAACCAACACTGTTACTTTGGATACAGTCAATTTGATCATTTGATCCTCCAGAATAGGGATGCCATCCTACTTACCTCTGTTGACATCAGTGCTACCCACTATTTTTTTTTTAATTTCTTATTTCTATTTATTTTATACATTCAGTCTCATGTTATTTAGGTTACAAAGTGAATATTCCAACATCTGTTCCTTTCTCACCAGTCCAGTTGACAATACTATAAAGTTATCTTCAATAGATAATAATCCATTTCTTTGTCCCACAAATGCCTTGCCTCTCTATTTTTCTTGTTAATGTCCTTCCTCAGACTTGACTTCTTCACTCGCCCTCTTCCCACACTGTATCTGGTATTCACAACTATTTACTATGTTTCTATAACCTTTACTCATTCAGTTTCGGCCATAAACACTCAGCTTAGTATAGTCTCTAGAAAAACTTTCCTTTCATCATAGTCTAGCAGGATTTCTCCCTCCTATGAACTTCAACATTGAACAGTAATGGTTCACATTACATTAGCATTCATAATTTTCAAATCATTTTCATTCACTATAGCTATCATGTGCTAGTCAATCCCATACTTCCTTGTGTATATGTGGACAGTGGATAGAAGGGCACCTGAGAGGCTAGCATATGCTAAGAACATGGCTACATGCTTTACATACTTTATTTCTTTTAATCCTCACGACAACCCTAGAAGGTGGACAGTTTGTTTCCTATTTTGCAAAGGATTTAACTGGGGCTGAGAGAGGTAAGATAACTCACCTAAGGTCACACATAACTAGTAAATGGAGATGCTAGGATTTAAACGCAGATCTGTCTGACTGTAAAGTACAGGTTCTTTCCGTGAGCCCAGGCTGCAATGTTAGCTAATAACAGCTAACCACAAGAATTATGATAGACCTCCAACCTGCCAAGGCCTGTTAATAAGCACTTCATGTGTATGATCTCATGGAATCTTTTCATAATGACCTGATGAGCTAAGTACTATTGCTATCATTGCCATTTTTCAGATGGGAAAATTGAACTACTAAGGGAGAGAGTAACTTCCCCCTGGGGGGATGGCCACTCCGCAATCCCTTCTCTTCCATTCTCCTCTCGGGATCTTGGGCACACATACACGCACCCAGCATGAGTTTAAGCCACCAGGTCTGAGACTAGAACCGCGGTCGACTACGTGGAAGTCCAGTGACATAGCCATTATGCCAATCGCTGGTCCCACAGAGAAAATGGAAATGTTAGTTAATTTTTATCAACAAATGTTTATTTTTATGTTCACAGGGTTTTCACTTTCTAAGAATGAGACATACGTCAAGGAGAAAAAAATAGTGTTCATGACAGAGATGAGGAGAGAAACCAAAAAGAGAAAGAGAAATATTTTGCATACAATATTATGAAGCGGCATTAACAGGTAAATTGTCCTATCTCAATGCTAGGCAACATGCAGAAGAGTACACCAGGATCCTGACAGTACTGCTTAGCTATAGAGCAACCAGGTTCTGAGAAGGTGGGGCCCAGAGATAGATAAGCCAGCTTTTGAAATGACTTTGAAGGTAATACTCACTTTTCTCCCCTAAAACTGCATTACTAGCTTGTCACTAAGCTCCACTAGGTAAGACATATATGGAGCAAAGAAACACTTTTTTCTCAATTAATCATAAAAGAAGTCCCCAGGTAAAAATGAAATAGTAAGCGAAGGCCAAAAATATATTTATATGATTTACCTATGGCCTCTTCATATTGCTGTGT